CCCCCCCCAACCAGCTAGAATCGATTAGAGCCCAAAAGTTTCTTATCTTCAGAGTCACTACATTCATTATTTTATTAAAAGCATATGCATTTACTGGGATATTCCGAGGTGTATCAATCCAATGTTACTTACTAACTTCCTCTTCATTATCCATATTTCTGAAATAACAAATAAAAGATTTCAATTAGTCACAATTTATCCCTTTATTTTTGTTATTCATTAATCAATTTAATCAAACTACCAACTCTTTTTAATTAGAATTCAAACCTAATTTTCCTGATACAGCTTTTGTCACAACTTGGCTCGAGACTTGAAATTAAACAAAACAGGAACATATAGTCATATGGTATAATTAACATTTCATTTACTCTTCACGTATTATCATACATTCTAATTTATAAAAGAGTCAATAAGAAATCAAAAAGTACACTACACAAAAAAAGTAAATTATCTAGAAACAACATAATCAGAAAGTAAAGCAGTTCAAACCAACACCCAACAATATAACACCAGTCAGAACTAAATAATGCAATAACTACAATTATAATACACGATATATTACCTATCAGCGCTAGTCTTCCTTCTGTAAATCATCCTTCTCTTGTCAGTTATATCAATTTAATATTTTTCTGAAATTATTATTAATTTTTAAGAATAAGATATGCCACTTAGTGAACAATCACAAACTTTTTATTCTTTAGCTTAATATGCAAAGGTTATACATTAATGTCTCAAGAAAATGTAATTTGTTAAAAAAAATCAAACCGTAAGTTTTTACTTTTCATTTTACCTTTCCAGTTTCAATTTAAGTATTTATCTTTTTTAACTTTTTTAAGATCTCAAGATACTCTCATGCTCGAATGTATCCTCAAAAAGTTGTATTCGTAGACATTCTTAAAATTTTGCACCTAGAGGTACACTTCTATCATTTTCATTAGGGGTACATCGCATCCTCCACCTATACCATTTAAGAGTAATCATATATGACTTAAGCCTTTACATTTTATTTCCTTTAATTGTCTCATTTTCAAGTTATTGAATATTTATTTTCCCTTCTTATCATTTCATTTCATTCCATTTCAATGATACATTTAACTTACAACATGCACATATTTATAAAAAAAATAGATATCTTAACCAATGTTGCAAATCTTTATTTTGATAGAACATCATTTTAATACATATATGAAAGTAATTACTCACCTAAACTCCTGAAATTTGAATATCTCTCTTTCTTAAATTAACACTCATTGCACCTTTAACCATTGATTTAAATTTGTTATATTAATGTATACTTTATAGCATCCAAATTACTTAAATGAAACCTTTTACATAATTAAATTATCGAACACTTTCGTTACTAAAATTTGCTCGGATCGATTGTCTTTCCCTCAAAATCATTCACTTTCAATATCTATTTTAAATTCAAAAACATTAAATGTTAATATTATAGCATATTTGAGCAATTATGTTTATATAATTAAAAACTTATAAAATCGGATAACTCTCTTTTTTATAGCTCGATACGATCCCTACCTGTACACCCATAAGCCTTCCTGCCTTCCTGTAAACCCATGAGCCTTCTTCTCTTTCTACCTTCGAGTGTGGCTCGACTTCAACATCGCACGGCGAGCTTCTCCTCCCTCATCCTTCGTTTGGCTAGGGTTGAGCACGACAATGACTTCGCACGCGTGGCTCCTCATCAAAGCCACATTTCTGCCTCTTCCCTATGCTAGGATTTCTTTCTACAACTACACAATAGTCAATAACTTCCCATCCACGTGAGTGATTTCTTCCATTCTTCCTTTCTCTTCTTTTTCTTCCCTCTTCCTTCTCTACTGATCAACTAGGGCACGCACAAAGGTAATCCTTCACAGTCTCCCACTCTCTCTCTCTCTCTCTCACACACACACACACAATCTCGATGCTTCCGCGATTCCAAATGAGCGAGTCATCTTAAGTGAAATTGTCGAGACGGTTATTCGATCCCACCGATTCAATTCTTTTTTAATTATTATTTTTATTATCAAATTTTCAGTTATGACACACCTGTTCAGCATTCATGCTCTAGGCGTCCACATCTTTGACATTGCATAATAATGTATCGTATATTGTCAATTTTTGAATATTAAATACATCTTCAATAGCTTCTCCCAATCTTTAGCACTATTTAAGTATTTTACTATGTTTTAAACTTTTTTTATGAAAAAGCTTTATTAGGTGTATTAAATGTGAACATGGCATTTTTGTTAGCTGTTTTGATTGACAAAGATGCTGTAATTTTTATTGGAATATTTAATTGAACTGTTGGCTCAATTAGCTCATGTCCATTGACATATATCTAACTAAACTTTTTAACAAGTAACACTCTATCCTCCCTTTTGTGTAAACCACATGCTTAATCATTGCAGGAAGCTAAAGAAAAGGAAAGGGTAATTAGCGCCCCAAAATCCATAATGCCTGCTGCATTTGTCTCATTTAAAACAAGATGGGGAGCAGCAGTTTGTGCTCAAACGCAGCAGTCAAGCAACCCAACATTGTGGTTAACAGAATGGGCTCCTGAGCCTCGTGATGTCTATTGGCCAAATCTAGCAATTCCCTTTGTTGAGCTTACAATAAGGAGGTTGCTTATGGCTGTATCACTTTTCTTCTTGACATTCTTTTTCATGTTTCCTATTGCAATCGTTCAGTCCCTTGCAAATCTTGAGAGCATTGAAAAGGTTTTGCCTTTTCTGAAGCCTGTTATAGAAATGTAAGTACTGCTCTTATTTCAAGCTTATTTTATCCCTAGTCTGTTTTCATATTATTTACTTATACTTCTAAGATGATTCTGCCATGATGATGTGATGCTTTTTAAAACATAACATTGTTATCAAGCTTTTTTTTATATATAATTTATAATTATCAAACATGATAACGGGAAAAACCAGACCATTTAGCACCATATACTGGCTGGTGTATGTGGGCTTCAAGCAGCATTGAGTTGTCATCAAACGTAGCAATTTTTTACTTTGATTTTGTATGAAGTGAAAACAAATTAATACCAGAATTATCACTGATTACCAAAAGACATGGGATAACCACTTATGATATATATATATATATATATGACACATGAGGTTGGTTGGGAGCTTGTATCATAGCCTCTACCAAATCTTTTACACACACACACACACACACACACACACACACACACATACATACATATCATAAGTGGTTATCCCATGCAAGAATTAGCAACGGATTTGGAGTCCACATAACTTTTGCTGAGAACGCATGCAAGAATTAGCAACGGATTTGGAGTCCACATACATAACTTTTGCTGAGAACACGTAGAATAATGGACGGTAGGCTGCGGTATCGTGCCATTAAATTTGGTTCATAGCGAGTCGGCATCATCTTGACCGTTCAGCGCACCTATTAAACTTAAATTACTACTCAAGTTTAAGTTGGATTAGACTTGAATAGATCCTTAAAGTTATTCCAAAGTTCGAGAGTGAGTCACAAATTGGGTCGAATTGAGTTAACTTCATTTAGGACAAGTTAACCAAAAAATTTGGCTGATTTGGATTAACACGGGTTAGGTCAGGTTAGCCCAGCGATTCAGTTGAATTGGGTTAACCCGGGTTAGGTCACGTTGGCTCAGTGGTATAGTTGATTTGGGTTAATTCTAAGAAGTGATATTGCCATCCAGCCCTATTAGTCAAACATTGTACTAGAACATGATGAAACCATCCTTGTAAGCCTTTATCTAAAAAGACATGGGATGACCACTTATTTCTTCTTCTTCATATATAATATTGACAACATGATGACATTATTAATTCCGAGAACTAGAGGCAGAGTTAGGACTAAAATGGGACGTCCCTAGCACTTTTGCGCCTTTTGGTGGCTTTTTTGGTTTTTAATCTTTTTGTATCTTTGTTTTATTTGGGATTTATGTTTGTTGTATTGTGTGAGTTGGACTTTCTTTTATACCCTCTCATACAAATTTTCTGTAACTTTTCTTCTTTAAAATATTATTCATTGGGTTTTTTCAATATATATATACAAAATAATTATTTCATTGATGGGAAGAAGATACAATGGTTTTAGTGAGCAAGTGCTAGGAATCCACTCACAAGACATACAAGAATAAAAAAGTAACCAAAATGTACAAGTATACTCCAAAAAAACTAGAGACAATTCCCCCAAAAAAATAAAAATGGTCTGCGGGCTACTCGGGAGGAGCAGAATTCTACCAGAGAGCTTAATTATGATGAGTGAGTTTTCCTCTCTCCCTAGATCTAGAGAGGGAGTCGAGTAGCAAATTGTGATGGAGGCTTCCACCCGAAACGAGCAAAGCATCCTCATGTAAATTCTTGCATTCTTTCAGTTCTATTTTTTATCTTCCTGGTTTTGTAAACTTATCAATCATCTTTCAAGGGTTGTCCCACTGATCACTGAGTTGATCATCAATGGGAGCAATTTCTATCTGTTGATTACCTTGAACTTGGCACTCCACCAGGATTTGAGGGCCTTCAACATAAGCAATTATTGTTTTCATAGCATATGGAGCATCATCAGGCACAAAAATAAGAGTATCCTCATTTTTAGCAACATGAGAGGGTTGAGGAAGTGAGGGGAGCTCCTCTGGGGAAAAATCAGTGGCAATATTCTCTCTAGTTGCAGTTTCCACCATATCACCCAGTGGAATATGTGCTCCTTAAGTGGTTAGGTGAGACATTTGAGGTCGTGGTCTCAAATTAGGATGGAGCCTGAAGCATTTTTCAAGTGTGTGTTTAAACATTTTACAATAGGTGCAATAGTATGGTCTCTATTCTATGACAATCTGCTGCTACTTCCTATTATGTGGAGTGCCAAGCCAAATTTTTTTAATGTCAGGTAAAGTGATATCTCTCTCCACAAGGATCTTGACAATAAGAGGTCTTGTGAGATTAAAAGTGGGTATGTCTAAATTCATTGGTCTCCAAAGCATGACCCCAATGGAATAAATGACCAGTTGGTTGAAAAGATGTAACTTAAGCCCAATTAACTTAAATCATTTTGGTACTATAGGTGGTTCTTGGTTTGGATCAAATTCAGGAGACCACTTGAGCAACTTCATAATTATTCCTTCAATGGTGAGATTTTTTTTAGAGAAAATCCTGGCATAGTCCTCGTTTGCAGCCAAATATATTACCATATGTCTCCCATCTAATAGACCCACCTTCCATTGTCCTACGAGTTTGAGATCCTCAGAAGCTTTGCAAATAACCTCCATTTTGGGATGCCCCAGCTGAAATATCTCAATGAGAGTGAATTTGCATTTTTTTAACCAGAGTAGAGATTTCAAAGTCTGAAAAGATAAGAGCACCCTTACCACCCTTCCGACAAGCTCTCTCAACAAACGAACAGTCGGCTATCCCTTCAAGAGAATAGTGATAAATCTAAGGAAACACCACATGGTCGACAACCTTCTTAGATTCTAGACCCTTACAAAGCACCTAAACAAATGATTCTTTATGTAGTTGCGGTTTCGGTGGAGGAACAGTGGCCATCGCAACAGAAGACAAAATAATAGAGAAAGGAACTGTAGAATAACGTTTGTAGATGAGAGAGAAGGGGTATTGCAGGGGGCATTGTTAAGCAGGTGTCGACGTCTGTGGGTAGAAAGCGAGAGGCTGGGGCTCGACAAGGCTCTACTTCGGCGCAGGCGACGAGCTGCGACGCAATGCCCTCCCCGCCTTCTTCGAGCAGGACAAAACTGCTTCGACGCAAACCCCTACCCTTCTTTTACAAGCACGACGAGGTGACGAGCTATGATGCAATCCCCTTTTCGCCATATTTGATCACAGCAAGGCGACGAAACTGCTCGACGTGAACCTCTACCCTTCTTCTTCGAGCACAAGGAGGCGACGAACAAGCTACGATTTCGTTCCGACATAAGGATGTCGAGGGGTACTCGAGTCGAGATCGGAATGTCTAGTTTATATATATATATATATATATATATATTTCGCCAAAATAAAAATTTCATTGATGAGAAGAAGATACAAAAGTTTTAGTGAATGAGTGCTAGGAACCCACTCACAAGGCATACACGACTTAAAGGGATAACAAAAAAAGTAATGTATACCCCAAAACAGCTGGATAATTTCCCCAAAAGAACAAAATGGTCCACCAGAGAGCTTAATCATGATGTGTGAGTTTTCCCCTCTCCTTGGTTCTAGAGGGGAGTCTAGCTCCAAATTGTGATAAGGCTTCCACCCGAAACAAGCAAAGCATCCTCCTGTAAATTCCTGAGTTCATTCAGTACTTTTTTCTTCTTCCTGGTTTTGTTAACTTGTCAATCATCTTTCAAGGGTTGTCCCAACTTATCATTGAGTTGATCATCAATCGGAGCAATTTTCACCTGTTGCACATCTTGAAATTAGCACTCCGCCAAGGTTTGAGGGCCCTCAACATCAGCAATATTTATTTCCATAGCATATGGAGCATCATCTGGCACTAAAAGGAGAGTATCCTCATTTTTAACAACATGATGGGACTAAGCGGTGCTTCTCTGGGGCACAAATAGCGGCAATATCCTCTCTAGTTGTTGTTTCCACCATATCAGTCAGTGGAATAAGTGCTTCTTGAGTAGTTAGATGAGGTACTTGAGGTTGGGGTTTCAGATTAGGGTGGAGCCTGAAACATTTTTCAAGTGTGTGTCTACACATCTTACAATGGGTGTAATAGTATGGTCTTTGTTCCATGATAATTTATTGTTAGTACCCGTTATGTGCAATGCTAAACCAAATTTCTTCAATGTCAGGTAAAATGATATCACTCTCCACAAGGATCCTGACAACAGAAGGTCTGGTGAGATTAAACATAGGTATGCCTAATTTCATGGGTCTCCCAAGCATTGCCCCAATGAAATAAAGAATCTGATGGTTGAAAAGATGTAATTTAAGTCCATGTAACTTAAACCTTATTGGTACTGTAGGTGAATCTTGGTTTGAATCAAATTTAGGAGACCACTTGAGCAATTTCATAGTTTTTCTTTCAATGGTGAGGTATTTTCTGGATAAAATCCTAGCATAGTCTTCGTCCATAGTCAATTGTGTTATCTCATGTCTCTCATCAAAGCTTTTGAGGATTCAAAGCTTTGATATCCTCAAAAGCTTTGCGAATAACCTCCATTTTGAATTTTTAATGAGTGTGAATTTGCAGGCTACTCAGGAGAACCAAAATTCCACCAGAGAGCTTAATCATGATGAGCGGGTTTTCCTCTCTCCCTGGATCTAGAAAGGGAGTCAAACACCAAAATGTGATGGGGGCTTCCACCCGAAACGAGCATAGCATCCTCTTGTAAATTCCTGCGTTATTTTAGTTCTTTTTTTTATCTTCTTAATTTTGTAAATTTGTCAATCATCTTCGAAGGGTTGTCCCAACTTATCAATGAGTTAATGTTGATCACCTTGAACTTGACACTCCGCCAGGATTTGAGGGCCCTCAACATCAGCAATAATTGTTTCCATAACATAGGAGCATCATCAGACACCAAAATGAGAGTATGCTCATTTTCAATGAGAGTATCCTCATTTTCAGCAACATGAGAGGGTTGAGGTACTGAGGGGAGTTCCTCTGTGGCAAAATCAGTGGCAATATCCTCACTAGTTGTAGTTTCCACCATATCACTTAGTGGAATAGGTGCTCCTTGAGTAGTTAGGTGAGACACTTGAGGTTGGGGTCTCAAATTAGGATGGAGCCTGAAGCATTTCTTAAGTGTATGTCCAAACATCTTACAATGGGTGCAATAGTATAGCTTCTGCTATATGACAATCTGTTGCTAATACCTATTATGTGTAGTGTCAAGCCAAATTTATTTAATGTCAGGTAAAGTGATATCTCTATCCACAAGGATTTTGACAACAGAAGGTCTTGTGAGATTAAAAATGGATTAAAAATGGGTATGTCTAATGTATGTCTAATTTCATTGGTCTCCAAAGCATGACCCCAATGGAATAAAGGACCAGATGGTTGAAAAGATGCAACTTAAACCCAAATAACTTAAACTATACTGGTACTGTAGATGATTCTTGGTTTGGATCAAATTTAAGAGACCACTTGAGCAACTTCGTTGTTATTCTTTCAATTATGAGGTATTTCTTAGAGAAAATCTTGGCATATTCCTCGTTTGTAGTCAAATGTATTATCACATTTCTCCCATCTAATAGACTCACCTTCTATTGTCCTACCAGTTTGAGATCCTCAAAAGCTTTGTGAATAATTTCCATTTTGGGATGCCCCAATTGAAATTTCCCAATGAGAATGAATTTGCATTATTTAAACCAGAGTAGAGACTTCAAAGTCTAAAAAGATAACAGCAGCCTTACCACTCTTCCTACAAGCTCTCTTAACAAACGAACAGTCGGCTATCCCTTCAAGAGAATCATGATAGATTTGAGGAAACATCATATCGTTTTAATATATTCGCTCTTAGGCTTTTCTAAATAAATAAATAAATATATATATATATATATATATGGCTTCTGCTTCTTCTCAAGCACCGACTACTTCAGTTTTAAACCTTAAAAGAAGGCTTCTTTTGTTGATATGGTTGGTTCTATGAGATCAAATTAGTTTTTCCCTCAGGTTTATCATGAATATACGAAGGCCAGGAGGATTGCAATCTTATCAAGAAGAAGTGGAGGAAGAGTGGCAAACTAACTTTATACTTCTCTGATGTTAAAGTTTCCAACCCATTTGATAAGTGCAAATTCACTCTCATTGGGAAGTTCCAATCGGGACGTTCTAAAATGAAAATCGTTCGAAAGGCTTTTGAAGATCTCAAACTATTGGGACTTTGGAAGGTTGACCTCTTTGATGGGAGACATGTGATAATACAATTATCTAAAGTGGAAGACTATGTCAAAATATTTTCCAAAAAGTTTATGACAATATATGAGAAATATATGAAACTGTTTAAGTGGTCTCTTGAATTTGACCCAGCCAAGAACCACCTATAGTTCCAATCTGGTTTAAACGACCTGACATAAAGTTGCACTACTTCAATCACCAAGTCCTCTATTCTATTGGAGCTGCACTAGGGAGACATATGAAATTGGATACACCCACATTCAATCTAATCATGCCTTTGGTTGCAAGAATTCTTGTTGAAACGAATATCACCTTCCTTGATGTGGACGAAATATGGCTTGGTGCTGCCCACAATAGGTATAGGTAGCCAATTGTGGCAAAACAAAGACCCTACTACTGCAGTCACTGTAAACTGTTTGGGCACACCCCTATCAAATGCTTCAGGCTTCACCCACATTTGAGATCGGTAGGTCCTAACAACATCATTCCTGTGGAGGAAAACATAAACTGTTAATCTTCGTTAATCTTCCAGAAATGTTGAATGAGAATTTAACTCATAAGGCTACTCCTCACTAACCAGATCAACAATTTTCACCTACTGTTATTGAGGCAGTTCCTCCTCAGATCACAAATACTATGAATTTTGTTGTAGTAGATGCTAGCTGAAGTGTCTTGGAACCATCTATTGCGAGAGAGGAGGGTACTCAGATTCTGGAGGAGTGTCAGGATCAAGGTGTGCTGCAGGCTGAGTCAGGTCAGCAGTTTACGGATCAACATACCCCCCGGGGTGAGCTCTTCATCGAAGATCCACCTATTGTTCTGACGGGATTACCTGTGGCAGACGATTGGCAGGTTTACAAATTTAGGAAGAAGAAAAAAGGAATGCTAGATCGCAGTAATTCTCATGATGACTGTCTCATAGTTTCGGGCGGAAGCCCACATCTCAGTATATTGCTAGGCTCCTTATCTCGATCCTAGGTCGGGGGGGAGGGGAGGGGGGAGGGGGAGGGGGAAACGGGGAATCCACCGACTACACCCACCATGATTAGGAGTTGTCTTCTCTTTTTTTTTTTTTTTTTTGGGGATTTCGTGTGTTATATATCTTCTTTTGAGTAAGTTGTAATCCCTGTGATTGGGCTCTTTGTACCCACTCACTAAAACCTTTGTATCCTCTCTTTTATATCAATATATATATGTATATTATTTATAGGGTTGCTCGTAGTTTAGACAACTTATATCAAGAAGGCTATGATAATGGTATTGTGTTTTGAGGATCTTTGAATAGTTCATTAGCAGCATTGAAAATTTACGTATGAATGTGTCTTTGAATATATACATTTGTTCGGATAAGGCCTCTTGAAGAGTTCTGATTAATTTATTAGCAATCTTCAAACGTTACATTTTAAAACTGCTTTTTCAGCCCCACAATCAAGTCTTTCATTCAAGGTTTTCTACCGGGAATTGCTCTAAAGATCTTTCTCATTATTCTTCCAACGATTCTTATGACTATGTCTAAGATAGAAGGTTTCACATCACTGTCATCTCTGGAGAGGAGATCTGCTGGAAAGTACTACCTCTTTATCTTGGTTAATGTTTTTCTTGGAAGCATAATCACAGGAACAGCATTTCAAAACCTCAATGTTTTTCTTCATGAATCTGCTAGCGAGTAAGTTGGGTAAAAGTTATATTTCTTATGCTACATTTTGAATATTCTGTGCTCTATTATTGCTGATTCATTATTGTTATATTATGGCCGGATAAGTTTTATAGAAAAGATTGACTTGGTTATTTCTTCATATTTATATGCATACGTCAATTTATTTTATCAACTCAAGGGCAATATTCCTTGGAGGAATTTCATTTTATTTGTTGAGATATTGGGATGAAAATGTTGGAAAGGAACCAAAACCATACCATTGCTCCTACTTTCTTTTTGGTTCAGAGTATTGGTCCAGGATTTAGTTGTTTTCACATTGGGGTAGGGAAGGTGTGCTTACGAACGAAGGAATCAAATGATTCAGGGAAAACTAGAAATATGATGATTTCAATCAAATTCAGGAGCTAAATGAGTGCTGGTTATTTCCATTTTGATTTGGTGATTAATGTTTTGTATAATGTGGGGGTAAGATTATGTGATCAACTCCTCTCCAAAGCTTAAATCAGTTGGAGTTTCATGTTATTATCATCCATCGTCCTAATAGAAGTGACTTTGTCAGCCCATTTAAAAGGGTATTGAATCCAATATTTTCTCACCTCTGCCTATTAAAAAATGAAGTGTTTGTCCTTCACGAAGTTTTCGAGATATGAAATTCAAATTTTCTTTCAAATATGTATCAAATGCCAATCTTTAGAAATCCTTTCTTGGTTCATGCTTTATGTTGCTTAATAGATTATAATTGTATTTTAACTTTTTTTCAGAGTTCCTGTAACTGTTGGCGTCTCCATCCCCATGAAGGCAACATTTTTCATCACATATATTATGGTTGATGGCTGGGCGGGCGTTGCTGCAGAGATTCTTAGATTAAAACCATTGATTGTTTTTCATTTGAAAAATGCCTTTTTGGTTAAGACTGAAAGGGATAGAGAACAGGCAATGGATCCTGGGAGTTTGGATTTTGCCACAGCTGAGCCTAGAATTCAACTCTACTTCTTGCTTGGACTTGTGTATTCAGTTGTCACACCATTCTTTCTTCCCTTCATTGTTATTTTCTTCGGTTTGTCATATCTTGTTTTCCGTCATCAGGTACCAAGCATCTATTCATTTCACTTTTAATGTTCAAAATTTTTTTATGGTCTTTTGACACACCTATTTCATTCCAAGCTGCTTTCATTTCTATCAATAATTGCTAGGCTTGACCAATACATAAAATGTTTTAAACACCGCCAGAATAAGATTTTGTTCCTAACTCGTGGTCTTTCATACTGTGTTTTCATTAAATAAAATAGAATATGAATGCAAATGTAACGGAAAGCAAAAAAAAATAATATGTACATTTCCATGCACTGTCAATCTCTTACACGCACACAAATATGGTCCACTATTTGTAGGGCGCCATATTAATTAGAAGAATTTATGAAAGTTTTAATTTAGTTTCCAATTCACTTTAATATGATTTGAAATAGTCCATAGTGATGATTATTTTGGCGTCCATTAAAATAGTTCTGAGACTAATTTAACACTTTTATAAAATTTGGGACTAAAATGATTCACTATAAATAGTCAGGGAACTATTTTGGCACATTCATACATACATGGATATTAATATATATGCATACATAGAGAGAGGGAGAGAGGGTGAGAGTGCATATCTGCTTTAGTTCGTATAGATGTGGATATCACAAGGGGAGTTTAGTTATTTGACATTTTTATCTTGTTGGGACTCATCTTACCCTTTCATCTTACCCATATGATACGAACCAAGATAACTTTTCTACATAATTTAGGGCAAACAAAATATTTTTCTCTACTTACACAAAAATAACACAACTCAAATACATAAAAATAAGAACCTACAACTCGAGAAGTAGGCGATCTCTCTTAACACCTACAATTCGAGAGGCAGACGATCTCTCCTAACACCTACCATTCGAGAGGCCAAATCCTAAACTTATGACTCAACTACAAAAATTAGGGCAACCAAATATTTTATTTAAAAAATATAATTAACGCAACTCGGACACTTACAATTTAAGAGATATGGGATCTCTCCCAAACCCTAATCCTAACATTTTCAATTCAAGAGGTAGGCGATCTCTCCCAGCCCCGGACTCCTAAGATTCAAGACAACAATCTCATAGTATAACACTAACCCTAAATATATTAGCCCTATTTACACCTCACAATAATAAAATTAAAATTATTAAATTACCCTTAATCGCCGGCATAGCACCATCCTTGCCTTCTTCTTTTTTTGTTATAAATTTGTCAAGCTTGTGGAAAACGGTCAATATTACTGCAGAATTGCTTTCTTCATAATACGAAATTACTGCATTGTACAATTTCGGCAATATTACCGACTGGTGTTGATAATTTGAAAGTTCTGTTTGTTTTTGCCAGATTATAAATGTGTACAACCAAGAATATGAGAGTGGAGCTGCATTCTGGCCAGATGTTCAGAGACGTGTGATAACTGCATTGATAATAGCGCAACTTTTACTAATGGGTTTGATAAGCACAATGCACGCTGCCAACTCGACTCCACTGCTCCTTGTTCTTCCTGTATTAACGATTTGGTTCCACTTTTATTGCAAACATCGGTTTGAACCAGCATTTGTGAAGTTTCCACTACAGGTATGTCTTAGAATCCAATAAACTTATGAAGTAATAGTTTTTTGGCGCAAATATTATTTTAAAATCTTCCGAGGATTTTCTTTACTGTATATTTCATGAAAACTCTTTGGAACAAAATGTAGTGTTAATAGTTTACTTTTAATAACACAAAGAAAATATGCTTTGTCGGGAGAAGGTTCCCATTAATGGGATTTTTGGGGTCCATTAACTTATCTGAAGAGGATGGTGGTGTAGATATCTTTCAACATTTAGGCACTACCACGTTCTAGTGAGATTTTTTCCGTGTATATCCGATCTATCCCTATGGGAACATTATTTTCTTGTAAATTTTATTGTCACGAACTGGACTGGGGCTTAGAATTAACCAAGGTTGGAATGAACGGTCGGGCGGGCGAATTAAATTTTCTATATTAACTCACAATTTAATAGATGAAAGAACCATATAAAATTAAATTAAACTGGTATAATTTATAATTATCTCGTTGATTATTGTCCGCGTCTTCTATAAATATTTTCTTGTCCATCGCTCATCTCTTAATAATTTAGTTGTACCTGAAAAGTCAGTTAAAACAACTATGAGCTAAAGAGTCAATAAATACTTATACTTCTAAACTAAAGTAATACAAAAAAAAAAAATAATGAATAATATACATGTCAATGAAGCTTCTTTATAAATCAATATAAATATTTAAGATGTTATTTGTAGAGATCTATATCATTATCATATCAATATCATTTCATATATATACAACCGTCACAAGAGACACCGTTTAAAAATTTATGTTAATTAAGACACATCAATATCAATATTTTTTTTTATTTACATGCATGAGTATATTAGTGTTCATCTGCTAGTACAATCAAAGGGTGTTTCATCATAGTTAGTCATGCACATGCAAACATACTATAAATCATTTCATTTTCTCATTTTCATTCTAAATAACATATATGTGTAGTAAATAAGTATAACTATGCAAATCATTCATATGAAATGATCAAATTGAATAAAAAACCAAAATAATCATATTCAAATTGTAGTAACAAGATATCTTGACTAATGACATTTTAATGCAAGTGATGTAAAAGAAATACAACAATATTACCATAATTTAGAAGTAAAAGTACTCATCTTGATTGTCGATTAATTTCCAGTTTGATTTGTTTTGATATTGACCATTCTATATTTGGAAGCATAACAACATATGAAGTTTAATTAATTTATTATTTTAATAAGCTAATATCATTTCATTAGTTAAGTATAATCATACTTAATTTATATTATTTATATATATATATATATATATATATGAAAA